CATCATCATCATCATCATCATCAACAGCCTATAAATGCCCACTGCTGAGCAAAGCCTCTTCTCACACGGAGAAGGTTAGAGCGTTAATCACCACGCTTGCTCAATGCGGGTTGGCGATTTCAAACTTATAATTAGAAATTATAAGTCCAGGTTTCCTCACGATGTTTTTCCTTCACCGTTTGTCAGTGGTGTCTAAATAATCTTAGAAAGTACATATAACTCGGAAAAAGTCACATTGGTACTTGCCGTTGGTAGGTTTCGAACCCGCACCCTCATGCATGAGAAGTGGGCGTCTTAAACCTCCGGGCCACCACGACATAAATGGCGCTGTGTGTATTGGTATATGTCACATAGGCTACTTTTTATCCTTTTGTGACGCGAGCGAAGCCGCGGGTAAAAGCTAGTCGATGATAAAGCATTTTGTTTTGCAATGGCATAAGCCGGTAAACGAGCAGACGGATCACCTGATGGTAAGCAATCGGCGTCGCCCATGGACACACGGAACACTAGAGGCGTTACAAGTGCGTTACCGGCCTTTTGGGGATTAGGAATTTAGGATTGTGGGGGATTCCGGGTCAAAGTCAAAGTCAAAATCAATCTTATTTCAATTAGACCAGAAAGGCACTTTTAAACGTCAACTAAAAAAAATTAAAGTGAAGCTATTTGCTCGTTCTAAAGTGTAGATTCCTATGAAGAAGAACGAGCAAGAAACTCCATAGGTTACTCTTTTTCAATCATGTTCACAATACAATTCTCTTGTCACATAGTTTTGTTGTTTGGATCACCTGATGGTAAGCAATCGACGTCGCCCATGGACACCTGGAACACCAGAGGCGTTACAAGTTCGTTACCGGCCTTTTGGGGATTAGGAATTTAAGGATTGTGTGGGATTCGGGGATTGGGGTAACCTCACTCACACGACGAAACACAACGCTGTGGTTGCTTCACTATGGTTCTCTGCTCGTTGGTGGTATCACTCCGGTCGAACCGACCTTTTCGCGCCGAAGAATGTCTGTCCCTCAATTATGTTTTTTTAGTTTTATAATTGTTGGAATGTATTGTTGCCATGGCAACGAATTATCTACATGTAACACACCTCCTAGCCTTCTAGTAATTGTAATCTAATGATAGTGACGTAGAGACATTATCTTATCTGTCTATCGCATTGTTGGCGAGACTAGCAGCTCCCTGCCAATCTATGAGGTTTTAAACTCGTTGTTTAAGGAGGTAATTAAAAAGATATTAAATGAGCATTATGCGCATAAGAGGACGACAAAGATACCTACTTTTGTCTTTTCGAAAAACCGAATAATAATAATATTGTGCTTTTTTTAGGGGGGAAAATCATCGAATGACTTCTCATGCCCGGGTCAGGGGGAGGGGGAGGGTCAGACTCTTACTGACTAAATACCACCCCGTTCCTACTCATGCACTTCGAGCCGGAGCCCCGGTAACCCGTTAAGTCCTTCGCGGCTCCGTATCGGCATCAGCCCTGTTGGGTCCCATCTGTGGTGGTCTAATGGCTATTATTATGCCTATCCCTGAAACCTTAACATTACACAAAAGACTCGACCAAAAAGGTTATTCATTCAGGAATGACAGAAAATCAAAAGAAATTCTTGAATTAAACACAAAATTTTATTCTGTGTCGCAGAGGAGAATGGAAATGTACCCACAATGGTTTGCCAACCACAAATATTTATCTTTATTTTATTGAAAAAAAAACTATGTCAAGGAATCAACTAAAGTTCACATGTTACTCACACGAATATACGAGAAAAGCCCTACTAGTTTCAGACCACAGTGGGCTGCGCGACATCGCCGCGACCGCGCACGCTGCTCATGAGGAAGAACCCCTCTGTGGTTCGAAACTAGTAGAGCTTTTCTCAATATATTCACGTGAGTAATTTAGTATGTCTCACGATAGTTATTGTAAAAATATGTCAAGCAAGTTGGAAGACAACTACAAAGAGAGGATGGATTTTTTTCTTTATGGAATATTTTG